GGATTAGAGAAGGGAAAAAAAAAAAAGGTCCATGGGCTCATCTCTGTGTTCTTGAGTGTAGCTTACTTGGTATCTTATTTGACAGAGACAGAATATATAGGGATACAGTCAAGGGCAAGAAGGAGGTAACTTCTGTGATACGCCTGAGTCCACTTTTATCTCTCTCTTCTACCAAGATGCATTTTCTTTCACAATGTCTAACTGAAGTAGTACATAAATCTACAAAATTTCAGTAGAAATCTACATACATTTCTAAATCATCCCAGAGATATCTTGCTAATGCTTTCTTTTCCAGATATGGATGACTGTATCCAGTGTCCAGAGGATAAATATTCAAACTATGGCCAAAATGCATGCCTTCCAAAAGATATAAGCTTCTTGTCTTATGAAGAGTCGTTAGGGATCAGCTTGGCCATATTTGCTCTTTCCTTCTCTTGTGTTACAGCTTTGGTGCTTAGAATCTTCCTCAAGCACCAGGACACTCCCATCGTGAAGGCCAATAACTGGAACCTTACCTACACTCTCCTCATCTCTCTCTTCCTCTGCTTCCTTTGTACTTTGCTATTCATTGGGCAGCCTGAGAAGATACCATGCCTCTTCCGCCAAACAGCTTTTGGCATCGTCTTTACAGTGGCAGTCTCTTGTGTACTAGCCAAAACCATCATTGTGGTTCTGTCCTTCATGGCCACCAAACCAGGATCCCAAATGAGAAAATGGGTGGGCAAAAGACTGGCAACCTCCATTGTTCTTTCTAGCTCCTTTATACAAGCCTCTATTTGTACTGTGTGGTTGGCAACCTCACCTCCATTCCCAGATTTTGATACTCACTCAGTAACTGAAAAAATTGTTCTGGAATGTAATGAAGTTTCTGCTATCATGTTTTATTGTGTATTGGGTTTTATAGGTATCTTGGTCATTATCTGTTTCACTCTTGCTTTCCTGGCCAGAAAGCTACCTGACGCTTTTAATGAAGCCAAGTTTATCACTTTCAGCATGTTGTTATTTTGCACTGTTTGGTTGTCCTTCATTCCAACCTACTTATGCACCAAGGGGAAATATATGGTAGCTGTGGAGATCTTCTCCATCTTGGCATCCAGTGCTGGTTTATTGATTTGTATCTTTTCCCCAAAATGCTATATAATTGTTTTCAGGCCTGAGATGAACAGCAGGGAATATCTAATCAGGAGAAAGAATTAAAGAATATCCCTTGTCCTGATGAAATTATCTATAATTTAATTTTATTTAATTTTAAGAGACTGGGTTTAGTCACAATAACATGTTCTATTTGCACAAACAGTATCTGATCAGAACTAACCATAGATGGAGTGGAACAATCACTTTTGTTTTTTGTATTTCTTCACTGGAATATAAATTTCATAGGAATAATGTTTAATTTTGGAATAAAACAAAACTATTGTAAAAATATTTGCAGA